CCACCTACTCTTAGATATACCGGCAAATTTGCCTTCCTAATCAGCACCAGTAAACGCATGGAGGCCCAGTAGTTCTTTTCCGGAGATGAAATGAAGCTCGCCTGAAATGTTGTTAGTCGAAAACAAGTCCATTAAGAAAATAAACACATCTGTATCTGGTAAATACACATCTACATCCCGAATGTCTCCATCACTCTTTGATGCATCAAGCACATGGATCGGGATCAATGTGTCTGCCTCATAATGTGAGTGCTCACAAATAAAATATTGGGATCAAAAACACCTGGTTTGTTGAGGTTCCATACACAACAACTAAAGTCTTGCTGCTATCTGCATATTCATGTAGTAGAGCTTTCCCCAAGTACTCTGATTGCTCGCCAGGATTAACAATGCCAGTGCCTGCAAGCCCTGTCATACATCTAATATGTTTTGACAACATGATTATAGGAGTGAAATTTCCACTGTTATTCAGGGTTTGGCTTCAACTGATGTTGGATTTCTGAAGTTTGTGTTGATATCCACAGGAGCAAATTCATCATGGATACAGACAGATTCATTAACAAGAATACACATACTTTCATCAGTTTTGATTACTAGCATTGTACCATGAAAAGTGTTCTGGTCATCTGCAGGGTTCTCTAGAAAGTCAATGTTATCTGCATCAAAGTAAACACACTTTCCTTTCATTACACATGTGCGAGCAACTGACAGTGTAGGAGTGTCAAGCGCTCTCGAAAAGTGTGCCAAATTATACAGTTTTATGCAACAGAGACGCACAACAAGAGGTAATCAAGGCCATTAATGAACTGGGTACCTGTAAACCTTAAACAAATTCCAATAGAACAATGATGAGACGAACAAGAAGTGGTGGAAAAAATCGTGGCGGTAAATCTACACCGACAAAAGGATACATTGCTAATTTTATGCAAATTAATGCATTGACAGAAAACCAAGAATGCGATATACCTGATGAAGACACGCAATCTGGCAATGTTGACCAATCTGATCATGCGCAGGAAGCTGACACGTATTCAATCAATGAACACGGCGAGGACGACGTCTTAGAAATGCATGATTTCCAACGCTTCGTAAAAAACGCTCTAATGTGTTTAGAGAAAAGCATAGACAAGATTTGTAAGGAACATTCAGTTATCCTTGAAAAATTGCAAGTTAAACA